ATTCGGTCAGCAGAGCTGCGCCAAAATCAAAAAAAATGATACAAAACAAGGTTTTGAATATACTTCAATTAGAAAGAGTTGCAGGAATTCACCTACTTTTATGAAAACTTTGTTAATGGCTCCGTAACAACTTTTATTCTCAACCAAAAAATTTGTATTCCCAGCCCTGACTGCCTAATTTTCCTTGGAAGAACTTGCTATCTTTTTCCTGCCTTTCATATGATTGCCAAGAAGGAACTTATTTCCACGTAAATTCAGTGAAATCCTCATGAGTCATTCAGGTGATTTTTTTCTGAGAGGTGGATGATGGCTCTGGCCCAGAATTATAAGAAAAGGCCTCTAAGAACAACAGCTGGTCCCCAACCCTCCATAAACTTTCTTTCTCTCTATTAGGAAGATCTTTCTGTTCCTAAAAATGGCCCTCCACTACGTGATAAAAACTGGAGGCTGAGGGATTCACCTGGGCTCTCTGGAACTGTGTTGAAAGTCACAACTGAGCCGCTCCAAGTTATACTGTGGCCTTAAATGAATACTTGGGATCCAAGGAGCCTCCTAGGACGTAAGAAAGAAGAAGACCTTTATAAATGACAGAGCTGCACTTGAGTCAGGAGTTCGAGACCAGCCTGGGGCCAACCATGGTGAAACCCAAGTCTCTAATAAAAATACAAAAATTAGCCAGGCATGGGGTGGGGGCGCCTGTAATCCCAGCTAAGGCCACAGGAATCGCCTGAACCTGAGACGTGGAGGTTGCAGTGGCCAAGGGAGCGCCACCCACCACTCCATCCTGGGCAAAGTAGTCTCAAATAAATAAATGCACAGATCTGGCCGGGCCGTGGTGACTCCCACTCCTGTAATCCCAGCACTTTGGGGAGGCCAACGTGGTGTGATTCACTTGAGGTCAGGAGTTTGAGACTAGCTGGGCAACATGGCGAACCCTTCTCTACTAAGAAATACAAGGTATCTGGGCGTGGTGCCAGGCACCTATCCAGCTACTTGGGAGGCTGAGACAGGAGAAATCACTTGAACCTGGGAGGTGGAACCTGGGAGGTGAGCCAAGATAAGCCACTGCACTCCCAGCCTGTGGACAGGAGTGAGACTCTGTCCTCAAAAAATAAATAAATAGAATAAATATCGTGCCTCTAATCCCAGCACTTTGGGAGGCCAAGGCGGGTGGATCACAAGGTCAGGAGTTTGAGACCAGCCTGGTCAACAAGGTGAAACCGCATCTCTCCTAAAATTAAAAAGTTAGCTGGGTGTGGTGGTGGGCACCTGTGATCCCAGCTATTTGGGAGGCTGAGGAAGGAGAATTGTTTCAACCCGGGAGGCGGAGGTTGCAGTGAGCTGAGATCGTGCCATTGTACTCCAGCCTGGGCGACAGGGCAAAACTCTATCTCAAAAAAAAAAAAAAAAGAAAGAAAGAAAGAAAAAAAATATTAAAAAAAAATATATATA